ACCACCCAGCAGTGTCCCAGAACCATCCTGGCATCACCCAGCACCATCCAGCGCAGCTCTGGTGCTGCCGGCAGTGCCTTGGCATCACCCAGCACCGCTACACACCGTCCCGGCACTGCCCAGCAGTGCCCTGCTACCAGCCTGGCATCACCCGGCACTGCCAGACATTGCCCCAGCACCAGCCCGGCATCACCCAGCACCATCCTGGCGCTGCCGGCAGTGCCTTGGCATCACTCTGGCGTCACCCAGCACCACCACACACCGTCCCAGCACTAACCGGCACCCCCCAGCACCGTCCAGCTCTGCCTTGGCACCGCACCGTCACCGCGCCCTGACACCCCGGCGTCGCCCATCACGGCACCCAGCGCCCGGCCCTTCTCTCTGTACGGGGGGGGTGCACGAGCGCCCGAAATAAAGGTCACCGAACGGTGCTGGGGGTCTGGGCTGGAGGACTGGGGGGGCAGCAGGAGCAGTCCCGCGGGGGGCAGGAGCCCTATAGAGCTATAGGAGCCCCATGGGGCGCAGGAGCCCTGTGGCAGGTGCCCATTGTTGTGTCCGTCCCCCCCCGAGACCCCCTGCCCGGGGTGGGGGGCAGGCTGCTATAGGGCCCGGGGGGGCTATAGAGCCCCTGGGTCCGGCGCAGGGTGGACAACCCCTATAGGGTGCCGGGCCCAGCCGTGCAGGTACCCTGGGGGGTGTAATCCCTGGGGGGGGCTGGGGTCTCTGTGGGGCCCAGGGCCCCCATAGGGTGCAGTCCCTGTTTGGGGGTGTAGGGCTGCTATAGGGTGCAGGGTCTCTATAGGGTGCAGCCCCTTGGGGGGTTGCAGGACCCCTATAGGGTGCAGGACCCCTACAGTGTGTACCTTAAGGGGTGCGTAGGATCCCTATAGGGTGCAGGACCCCTATAGTGTGCGCCCCAAGGGCTGTGCAGGACCCCTGTAGGGTGCAGGACCCCTAGAACGTGCACCCCCAGGGCTGTGCAGGACCCCTACAGGGTGCAGGACCCCTATAGCGTGCGCCCCAAGGGCTGCGTAGGACCCCTATAGGGTGCAGGACCCCTA